ACAAACACTACAAATGGGCTGGTCTCGAGGTGGTCAACATTGAGTCTTGCTATGCTGCTTGGACGCTGGCACGACGTTGGCGAGACGCTGGCTGTGCGTAGGCACTCTGGACGACGACGCGGACTGTGACGGCATGCTGGCGCAGTCTGCATTGTGCGCCAGGCATTGCTGCTGTGGCCCTGCCACCTGTCTTCAAGGCTGATGTAGCGCAGGTCACTTGTCTACATTGCTGATGTGGCGCTGCCATCTGTCTACATTGCATGCTGATGTGGCACTGCTTCTGGTCTACATTGCATGCTGATGTGGTGCTGCTTCTGGTCTACATTGCATGCTGATGTGGCGCTGCCTCTGGTTTACATTGCATGCTGATGTGGAACTGCCTCTGGTCTACATCGCATTGCTGATGTGGCGCTGCCACCTGTAACGTGGCGCATGCAATCTGTCTCTACTGCTGGCGTGGCATTGGCCACGCTGTCTACATGAGGTGACTGGTTGCAATGAGGAGGAAGGATCTGTGGATGATTGGGAACGGGATACTTACCTGAGGCCGACGTTGATATTGTTCGCTGCTGGCTGTCTTCATTGTCTCTATGAGATTGGTGCCACGTGGCACTTCTGTGTTACCGGGACTTATCAGACTTGTTACTGTTATTTGATTGATGACGTGGAGGGAGAGGAAGCCCGGAGAAGAANGTGGCACTTCTGTGTTACCGGGACTTATCAGACTTGTTACTGTTATTTGATTGATGACGTGGAGGGAGAGGAAGCCCGGAGAAGAAGTGGGATTGAGTGGGTTACTATTGTGTGATCTTTGACTACTTCTCCCACCTTCTCCCTTGTCTATCCTCCCTCCACTCTCCTCGTCTATTGGTAACGAGATACTGTTGCGGATATCATTTTCACGTTAACTGGAGACTTTGTACAGATCTGAGACTACGGGAACTTCGACGTCTGCTGAGTATCTTCCTGACTGGGTTCATTAGACCAGACGGGCTCTAACAAAATACGGTGTGGCCTCTAATCATAAGATTAGAGTGTGCGACCAGCTATATAGGGAAAACTTTCATTTACATTACTTTGCCATGAGAGGGACCCATCTTGAGCAAACACAACAAATTCAAGTACTCCAATACTTATCAAAGGTAGGGGTCCAGAGTTGACTTTCCTGCCCTCCGAACCCCAATGATAGTTCCCCATCATACAGCTCTCTGCCACAAATCATCTGTGCCCTGAAAGGCCTTCCACGATTCAGACCCCAAATTCGGATCTCAGGGTCAGATGCCCAGGTCAAGAAAAGGCCGAGTTCGTCAAACTCAGAAAACTCACAATCGGGTACCTCAGCGGTCTGGTCCAACATTCATTCAGAAGAGTCACATCTCAGGGACAAGAGTCACGTCTCATAATAAAAGCCATTCATTCAGAAGAGTCACACCCCACGAGTGAAAAGGCAGATTCACAAGTAGGAGTCACGCTTCCTAATGAAAAATCATATTGAAGAGTCACATCCCTCGAGTAAAGGCAGTATCACAGGCAAAAGTCATGACCCACAGGCAGGAGTCACTATCCACAGTCAAAAGTTGTGTTCACAAGTGAGAAGTCATGACTCAAAGGCCCAAGCAGCAGCAGTCCAATGGAAATTCGGGAAGGTTCCAGGCCTTGACATTCAGAAGCAGACAGGCCGAGGGAATGTGGTACCGGAACGAGTCAGGACCCAAGAAACAGAGGCTGGCACGAGTTGAAGTGAAAACCAAGACTACAAAAGGACTGGCCACCCTCACATTCGGGCAGATTGCTCATTCGTAAGAAGTGTGGAGAGGAGCAGAGCGCTGAGGCCAGAGTGCTGCGCTAAGTGAGGGAGAGAGAGGAAGATAGCACTGGCAGGGAGAAGGCAGCCATAGCTGTGCCAGTGCAGAAGTGTTAGTGCTAGTTGTTAGTAGTAGGCTCCAGCAGGGTTAGTAGGGATGACAGTGGGTCTATTCAAAGTAGATCCATGAGGTAGTAGATAGCGAGTGTGAATGCATGTCGGGAGAGAAGACACAGCGAGGTCATAGCTTGGGAGAAGACCAGCAAGGTGGAGAGAAACATAAGAGGGAAGAGAAGAGGGGAAGAGATACTTACCTGAGAGTTTATGCTGATTATTGGTTACCTATTGGCATGCACTGATGAGCGCTGGTGACTTGAACTCTTATTGCTCTTGTAATACTCTGGAAAAGATAAGCTGCGCTACCTGGTCTTCATCTCTCTGGCCTCCAGTGTGAATTTCGTGTGAACTCATACATGCATGTGGTGTGAATATGTGCACTCATTGGTGTTGAACTAGGAGGTTCATTGCAATCTGGTATCGGAGCAGTTGCTCGCTGCACCCGCTGATCATCGCTGGCAACGATTAAGGCTGGCGAGAAGGGGGATGAGAGAGTGAGTTGAGTGGGGAGAAGACTGACGAAGGGGGGAAGAAGAAGGTCGAAGAAGAAGTGGCTTAAATACGTACCTGTCGCTGCTGTGTTGGAGCGTTGGAGCAGCCGTGGAGCTTCATCAGCGGAATGTTCATCTGAGTGAAGTGCATCCCTCAATAAAAACCTGTATTGCTTGCTGACTTGTCTTGGTGTTTGGTACCTTCCCAATCCTGGAGTCGCTGCTGCTGCGCTGAATCAAATCTCGTGATATAGTTGAGTCGAGGAACCAGTCCAATTGTGAAAAAAAAAGGGTATATATACATATACATAGTTCTGGGAAGGTACACGGCAGTCAGTAACAGACAAACCCACTCATAAGTTAGTAGTAGCAGGGGTAGGGAGAAGACCAGCAAGGCTGAGAGAAACACAAGACGCTAGGGCAGCGCTTCCGCATGGCTCACGCAGGAATGAATGAATGGCTGGACGCTGCCTCTTTATTTATACTTCTGTAAGTCGCTGGTCTGCCCCTTTCCACCGGGCCCATGGTGCACACAGTCCCTCATGGTACTTGCTGACTGTGCAAAGTGAGAATGGGACTGGGTACCGCTGACTAAGCGAAGTTGGACTCATCACTCGCCCACTTGCCTCTGGTCTGCTGTGAATAATGTGAGAAGAAACTTGAAAGGCCACCTTCCGGAAGTCTGTGGACTTGGCCTTTCAGGACTGTAGCAGCTACGACCTTGACCTTTCAGGACTGTAGCAGGTACGACCTTGACCTTTCAAAATTGTTACAGGAGAGAGTGCCGGAGACAAGACCATGCAGGGGCAGACAGAGAACTACACCTCAAAGAAGGGACACAAGACAGGGATGTTTTTGAGTTTTTTTGTTCTGAAACGGTTTCACCCAGTTGACCTGACATTGCAGTCACAGAGATTCGATCCCTAGACCTGTGCCACAACCCTGTACATTGATCCCGTGTGCTAAGTGAGATTCGATCCCTAGACCTATCCCATACCTGTACATAGACCCTGTGTGCTGAATAGGATTCGATCCCTAGACCTGTTTCACATCCCAGATTAGTCTGTAGTTTGGGCAGTAGGACTTGATCCCTAGGTCTGTAGATTAGCAGCTAGGTCTGTTACCGATAGGCTTAGRAAGTCTGTTCCARAAGTCTCTAYGAAGTCTCTTGAGGACTGGAATCTGTCTGTAGGTCTGTATMRTCTAGAAGGTCGTAGGTCCCTGTAGGCCAGTCCAGTCAGCAAGTACCAGGGGTAARGGCTGCACGTGGGGAAGGTTCTGGAGCACGCTGTGGGYTTCACACGTTTTGGCCCAGAAGGCCAAACGTCTGGAAACTTCCCTGGGCCACACGTTTTGGCCCAGGCCCACACGTTTTGAGGCAGGCCCGGGTACCTCCAAAGAGGTATAAATAAAGAGGCAGCGTCCAGCCATTCATTCATTYGCCTGTGAGCCATGCGGAAGAGCTGCCTTGGTATCTTTTGCGTGGAGGTCTGCAGGTGCCCGGAGAAGAAGTGGGCTGTGAAGAAGACAGCGGCCATAGCGAACCRGKGAGGGAGACACCGGCGMCCATAGCTAGGAGGAGGAAGACKACAGCGGCCATAGCCGCCCAGCTGTTGGTGTAGACAAGCGTACAGASTGTGTGAGGCTGTGCTGAGTGGGGACATTCAGGGTGATCCTCGTACGTGCATACATGTGAGAGTGAGGGAGAGTGAGGCTGGTGGTAGAGACAGTATCCGGCGGCCATAGCCGCAAGTTGTACAGTTGTTTTGAACAGAGTTTAAGAGCAAGTTCATTGTTGTTTCTGAGTTGGAAGAGTTTGGTTTGCCATCGGTTCTCAAGTGTGCATGTTCTGAACAAGTCCAGAGTTGAGTCTGATTGCATTGGTATCGGAGCTGGTACCCATTGTCCACGCCGGCGGAGCTGTAGCAAGTGAAGAAGAAGGTAGAGGCCGCCATAGCTGAAGCTCGGCACAGAGAGAGAGAGAGAGAGAGAGAGAGAGAGAGAGAGAGAGAGAGCAAGAGAGAGAGAGAGAGAGAGAGAGAGAGAGAGAAAGAGAGAGAAGGGGGGACGACAGCCATAGCTGTCAAGCTCGGGGCAAGAGACGACCATCGAGAAGAAGAGAGACGCAGAGAAAAGGAAGAAGAAGGTGACCAAGAGGGAGACGAAGTCAGCCATTGCCAAGGTGGAAAAGACGAAGGTTTTGACGAAGAAGAAGAAGGTCCACCATAGCAGGACGGTTGGAAGGTTGACCAACGCTGACCAGGAGTTGACCAGCGTTGACCAGGAGTTGACCAACGTTGACTGGGGGTTGACCAAAAGTTGACCAAGGGTGTTGACCGGGCGTTGACCAGGAGCGTTGACCGGCGAGTTGACCAATACCGTTGACCGAAGCGTCGACCCAGCTGGAGCGAGAAGATTACCGGTACCATCTCTCCATGCCCTGGCCTACCCCTTACCCCGTGGATGTGCACCTTCACCTTGGTACCTGCTGACGTTAAGTCTGTCGAAGTTAGTCAGTCCTATCTTCCTGTCACTTTTGTCCAGGTCGGTAGGATTCTGTGTATGTGGTCATAGAACCGTAAGTCTAGCCCGAGTAGTGAGTCAAAACCTCTCGACAGAAGTTAACCTGTTCGGTCTACGTGTTGAGGCGCGGAATCGTTGTTGATTGTGCACTTTCACCATGGTGACCACCAGGACTGGGTTTAGTACCACCCCCTACAGCAAGGAGCAAGAAGAGAGAGCTGCCGCCCTTCTGCGTGAAAGGAAGGAAAAGATGGAGAAAAGGGAGTTGCTGGCCCTGCTGGAGGAACAAGAGGCAAAGAAGAGGCAGATGGAGGAGGAGCTGAAGAAGCAGCAGGAGGAGAAGATGGTGGCTATACAAGAGGAGGTGGAGAAAGAAGAAGAAGAAGAAGAAGTAGAGGAAGAAGAGCCATTGGAGAGAAGGAGAGGGGAAGCGAGCACAAGCAAAGCAATTGAGATTGCAAGGATTGCAGAAGAGTGGGCCACACATTTGGAGTTGGGGGAAGATAGGGAGGCCGAGATGGCCATTCCCCAGGAAGAGAGAGAAGCAGCAAGGAGGCAGATTGACACAGAAAGGGACCCGGTGAGAAGAAAGGCGAAGGAGGAAGAACAACAAATGGCATGGAGATACAGGCTGTCCCAAGATAGGGTAAGACGATTGGAAGCGGTGGAAAAGGCAGAGAAGGATCTGAAAGCGGCGGAGGCTAGGATGGAAAAATCAGGGAAGAGACGGAGATAGCTACTAAGCTCAACACCCTGACTCGGAGCATACAATCTTTACTAATTGCACACCAGGAACAAGCGCAGTATATTCGCAGTTTAGAAGTAAAGGTAGATACAATAAGCGTCGGGTTTAAAAATTTTGCGAGTGACATGATGAAATACTTATTGGCCGAAGTCCACAGTGCAATTAGTAAGACCCGTGAGTTCTGTACTGGCGCCATTGAAGGCGCCAAGTTAACGACTCCTAAGGAAGAGGAGCCAGCCCCACCACGCCGTGAGAAAGTCAAGGTCCGTTTTCCCGAACCCTTCAGTGGAAAGAAGGGTGAGGATTTCGATAACTGGGAGGCCAACGTGCACTCCTACTTGTACTTACAGGGAGTCACGCCTGAGGACCATGTTTTGGTTGCCTTCCAGGCCCTTCGAGACGAGGCGACTAGCTTTGCTAGGACGCTAGCCCGCGCTGCGAACTGTGATAACGCTATGGTGACGTATTCGAGATTGACACCTCTCTCGGATTTCCTGAAATCGCTCAGGGAGCGATTCTCAGATGTGACGCGGGGGCTCAAAGCCTCCAACAAACTCCAAATGATACACCCTCGTCAGTGGAAGAGTGTGCACGCCCTCAAGTCCGCCATGGACAAACTGATTGCGGTCCCTGGGCATGGAGTAACCGATGCCCAGCTTCTAAACTCTTCTATCGCACCGTCCCTGAGAACATTCAGGGATATTTCTTCGAGAAGAAGACTCAACAGGGCATGACTTACGACACTCTTAGTTGGGAGGCATTTGCATTTGCCGCCCAAGCGTCGCCAGTTACCACGTTATGGCACAAAGATCTGTCAAAGGGAAAAACGTGGAAGGGACGCACCATCTCGGGCCAAATCAAGGTCAAAGATAGTTTAATTCTGACAATGGAGGAAGGTGGTGTTGACGAGGTTCCCTACTCTGACATCGAGTGGGGACTGGAGGAGGAGAACAGCGGCGCAGGCCAGGGGAGAACCTACGCTGTTGTTGCGGCCAGAGGGAGGCCGCAAGGAGGAGGACAACGGTCCGGCCAGAATGGTCGGGCCCCAGGTGGCCGAGGACAGGGCGGCCAGGGRGTTGGCGGCAACGGCAACCGCCAAGAGGGAGGAAGGGGAGGTCCCCCGCCTAACCGTCCACGTTTTGGTCGGTCACCCCCCAGACAGGGAAGGTGGCACCCAGGCCGGCCCGAGGGCCGACCCTGGCGAGATCTGGGTATAGATCAGGGAGTATGGCAAACACACATTAACAGTTCTCAATGCGTATCTGCGGGGACCCAGGCCACATTATCAAATTTTGTCCCAAGTACGGGGACCGTGCTGCGTCTGGGGCAGCAAAAGACAGTCGTCGGTAGGGGTCGCAACTGCCCCTACCCCAAGAGTATGTGGATCTGAGCGTGTGTGCGAAGTAGAGTCTCCCACTCCACATATCTCAATGGCAGAGGTTGCAGGCCAGCGTTTAGTAAGTTGTCAAGAGACTGCTTGTGTTAGGGGACGCTTCCCTCACAGGCTTAGCTGAGGAGTTAAGAGAGAGGAGGCAAGCCTGGGCCAAGTTGAAGAAGGACAGTAAAGGACAACTAATCCTCGCAGACGTAGAAATATTTAGAGCTAGAGTAGGTGCCCTGATAGACAGTGGGGTGACTAGGAGTTATATCAGTCGTCGAGCGATGAAGAAGTTGAAGCTTAATTTGAAAGTCCAACGCTTAGAGGAACCTGTAGTCAGCATTCTTGCAGACAGCAGCAGGATGCATGTTGAAGAATATGTTGAGGGGGTCCACGCCTACCTTCGCCTAGAGAAAGATGGGAAGGTAGAGAAGGTACTGCACTCCTTGACCCTCCTCGTGGAAGAGAGTCTCCCGTTTGACATTGTTCTAGGTACGGATTGGGGAGAGGCAGCAGGAGCCACACTGCACCTTAGAGAGCACGAGTGTAGGCTCCCTAGCGCGTCAGGCGAAGTTAAGCAATTCCGCCTGTTCCATGAGTCGGGGGTAGATAATCCCCTCGCCCATTGCTGCCTCAATGCTTTTGCATTCGCCAGACTTGTGCGAAAGGAGCAGCTCGAAGAGCAGGTGTTCGTAGCCTATGTTAGGCCGATTTTTTTATCAGCCAAAGGAAGAGGAAAAGATCCATCCTTCCATCGCCAGTTTGCTGGGAATAATACAAGGACTTGTCTGAAGCACCTTCAGGAGTAGTGCCCAGACCAATCCAGCACCGTATAGAGATAGAACCTAGCAGTAGAACGCCTAAGGGGGCAGTCTACAGGTTGTCTCCCAAGGAGTTAGAGGAGCTTCGCAGACAGTTAGATGAACTCCTAGAAAAAGGATGGATCAGGCCTAGTTCGTCACCGTTTGGCGCACCTGTTCTGTTTGTCCGAAAGAAGGAGGGAGAGCTTCGCACGTGTATAGACTACAGGGGACTGAACGCCATCACGATTAAGAATGCAGAGCCATTACTGCATATAAATGACTTGCTGGATCGAGTACAGGGATGCAGGTACTTCTCGAAGATAAATCTGAAATCGGGGTACCATCATATAGAGGTGCACCCTGACGATCAGTATAAGACGGCGTTCAGGACGAGATATGGGCATTACGAGTTCAGAGTGATGCCATTTGGACTTACTAACGCACCGACAACATTCCAGCGCTGCATGAACGACTTGTTTAGACCGTGGTTAGACAGGTTCATCGTAGTTTACTTAGATGACATCCTAGTGTTCAGCAAGACCCTCGAAGAACATGAGGGCCATCGACGGCAGATTCTAAGCAAGTTGAGAGAGTCTAACTTTAAGATTAACCCGAAGAAGTGCGAATAGGCCAAGACACAGGTCCTTTACCTAGGCCATGTACTAGATGGCGATGGCATTCGGCCTGAGGACAGCAAGATTGCATCCATAAGAGATTGGCCAACTCCTAAGACGCTGACATAGTTGCACTCATTCCTAGGACTAGCTAACTACTACAGGAAGTTCGTGAGGAACTTCTCCACGATCGTTGCTGCCCTTCGTAGACTTCTGAAGAAAGAGACTATCTGGAAGTGGGACCAGGATTGTACGCCAGCCTTCAAGAAATTGAAGAAGGCTTTGATAGAGTACCCTGTCCTCAAAGTTGCTGATCCATCATTACCATTCGCTGTTATTACAGACGCAAGTCAGTATGGCATAGGTGTCGTTCTACAGCAAGATGACGGCAACGGTTATAGGCCCGTAGAGTTTATGTCAGCCAGGCCGCCCTCAGAGAAAGTCGCAGCATCGACATATGAAAGAGAACTCTACGCTCTCAGGCAGGCTCTAGAGCACTGGAAACATTACCTGCTTGTGAGGCACTTCAAGGTTTACTCAGACCACGAGACTCTTAGATGGCTGAAGACACAGGCCAAGATGACGCCCAAGTTGACTAGATGGGCTGTTGAGATAGACCAGTATGACTTTGAGTTGAAACCCATCAAAGGCAAGTATAACGTGGTAGCTGATGCGCTAAGTAGGAAATCTGATTACTTCGGCACAATAGTGCACTACCTAGACATAGGGGCCGACCTGCAGCAAAAAGTAAGAGATGCCTATGCACAGGACCCGATCTACAGTGAGCTGCTGAAAAGAGTAAGGGAAGCCCCAGATAGTGAGCCACACTACCGGATCACGAACGGACTTCTGTTTGAGAAGACTAATGTCGCTGACAGACTATGTGTCCCCAATAGTGAAGAGATCAGCAATCTGATCTTAGGGGAATGCCACAATACGAAGGACACTTTGGATGGCAGAAGACTTTAGCTAACCTGATAATGTCCTATACGTGGCCAGGAATGAAAGCAGATTGCATAGAGTATGTGCGCAGCTGCAAGGTATGTCAACGGAATAAAACTACAACCAGAGCCCCGCTAGGTCTTCTGAGACCCTTGCCTATTCCGTCAGGACCTGGAGATTCAGTTTCCATTGACTTCATGGATATTGGGGTCAAGAGTAGGCACGACAAGACTCAAGTCATGGTCATAGTAGATAGGTTTAGCAAGTATGCAATATTTGTTCCCCTGCCTTCAGAGGCACGTACAGACTCAATCATCAGTAAGTTTTTCGACTTCTGGGTAAGCGAGCATGGTATGTCGTTGTCCATAGTCAGTGATAGGGACACGCGGTTTACAAGTCAGAATTGTCAGGATCTTATGAAAGTTGTTGATGTCGTCAGGACGACACCTAGAGATTAATGGCCAGACAGAGCAGATGAATAAGATCTTGCAACAGCTACTTAGAATGTATATTAGACCAGATCAGATAAACTGGGATGAGATGCTTCCCAAAGTAGCAAGTACCTACAATAATAGTGTTCATCTAGCTACCTGCAGGACTCCTAACGAGCTACATAAGTCCTTTAGGCGACCGTTTGAGGGACTAAACTGGGACCAGGTACACAGGCTACCACCCGGCATACGAGAGTTTGCATTACAGCATGAGCAGGAAGTCGATAAGGTCATAGACAATCTGAGAAAGGCCCAGCATCAGATGATAGAGCAAGCTAACAAGCATCGCCGACCTTCACAGTTTCAGGTAGGCGATCTAGTCTGGGTCAAGTCAAAGGAGTTCGCACCTAAGGAAAACATCTCGCAGAAGCTCTTACCTGCGTATAGAGGACCGTGGCCTGTCCTAGAAGTCAAAGGAGGAGAGGACGGCCCGTCATATACTATAGAGATTCCAGCACACCTCCACACGTACCCAGTCTTCCATGCATCTAAGTTGTTACCCTGCACCACATCTGACAGATTCCCTTCTAGGAAATCGATGATCCCGCTAGACATGGATGGTGCATATGATATAGATCACATAGTGGAAGAGGACGTGTTTAGGACAGGAGGTCGAGGTCGTCCCCAGAAGCAATATAAAGTTCAGTTCGCATACCAGGAACCCGAGGACGACCGATGGTTCACAAGAACAGAGCTTTTGGAAACCGCTCCCGACATAGTGCACGCCTATGAGAGGGAAAGAAAGGGCAAAGGTCCTGCCTTGAGTTAGGGTGTTCTCAGAGGACCTCGAATTTAGGACGGCGGGAGTGAAACGGTTTCATCCAGTTGACCTGACATTGCAGTCACCGAGATTCGATCCCTAGACCTGTGCCACAAGCCTGTACATTGATTCCGTGTGCTAAGTGAGATTCGATCCCTAGACCTATCCCATACCTGTACATAGACCCTGTGTGCTGAGTAGGATTCGATCCCTAGACCTGTTTCACATCCCAGATTAGTCTGTAGTTTGGGCAGTAGGACTTGATCCCTAGGTCTGTAGATTAGCAGCTAGGTCTGTTACCGATAGGCTTAGRAAGTCTGTTCCARAAGTCTCTAYGAAGTCTCTTGAGGACTGGAATCTGTCTGTAGGTCTGTATMRTCTAGAAGGTCGTAGGTCCCTGTAGGCCAGTCCAGTCAGCAAGTACCAGGGGTAARGGCTGCACGTGGGGAAGGTTCTGGAGCACGCTGTGGGYTTCACACGTTTTGGCCCAGAAGGCCAAACGTCTGGAAACTTCCCTGGGCCACACGTTTTGGCCCAGGCCCACACGTTTTGAGGCAGGCCCGGGTACCTCCAAAGAGGTATAAATAAAGAGGCAGCGTCCAGCCATTCATTCATTYGCCTGTGAGCCATGCGGAAGAGCTGCCTTGGTATCTTTTGCGTGGAGGTCTGCAGGTGCCCGGAGAAGAAGTGGGCTGTGAAGAAGACAGCGGCCATAGCGAACCRGKGAGGGAGACACCGGCGMCCATAGCTAGGAGGAGGAAGACKACAGCGGCCATAGCCGCCCAGCTGTTGGTGTAGACAAGCGTACAGASTGTGTGAGGCTGTGCTGAGTGGGGACATTCAGGGTGATCCTCRTACGTGCATACATGTGAGAGTGAGGGAGAGTGAGGCTGGTGGTAGAGACAGTRTCCGGCGGCCATAGCCGCAAGTTGTACAGTTGTTTTGAACAGAGTTTAAGAGCAAGTTCATTGTTGTTTCTGAGTTGGAAGAGTTTGGTTTGCCATCGGTTCTCAAGTGTGCATGTTCTGAGCAAGTCCAGAGTTGAGTCTGATTGCAGTTCCGAAGCACAGTCGGTGATATATTCCAATATAATTCCCATATTTACGATATCACAGCCACAGACAGGCCAGGACATGAGGAGAGAGTGCCGAACACAACCATGCAGGGGCGGATAGAGAACAACAGCTCAAAGAAGGGACAGAAGACAGAGGGTGGAAGAAAACACCTACCCACTCATCGGGCCGTCTGAGGTTTCTTCTTCTTCTTCTTCTTCTTCTTCTTCCTTTTTTTTTTTTTTTTTTTTTTTTTTGAGAGAGAGAGAGAGAGAGAGAAGATGGGAAAAGCACAGTGGAAGGCAAGAGGTACCGTACCATTGTGTGGTTGCGCATTCCAGCCACCATTCTAGACAGCATCCCAGTTGGTGTGACCTGAGTCGCAGGAAAAGGAAATGGATGATTGCAGTTGAGTAATTAGCATCTGCACATTAATCAACATTGCCTTTCAATAGCCTGCTGTGGCTGAGTATTTGTGCATTTACCAGTTCCTTTGATCCTTTTCTTGAAATAGGGCCAATTGCGATGTGAAAAAAATGGTCTTTCTTGCTGAAGATACAATCACAATATTAGATATTTGTCTAATGCTGCAGCGATACCCATAATCCAGCATGACACTCTCACAGGCAGCGAGTCACCTAAATTATGTGTTATGATCGTGGCCAATTTCGAAGTACACATTCATCAGATAGTACAATGCCATCCAATTGCAAAAAGAAATGAATGAACTTGAGAGGAGAGAGAGGGTAAGAAGAAGAMGAAGAAGAAAGAAAGAAGAAGAAGATGATGTACACCAGCATAGACAAATGGTAACGTTCTTCTTCTTCGCCAAGTACTCTCTTCCTACTTAACTACTACTCTTCTTATTCACACAAGAAATAATAATACAATGTTGAATGGCTGAACCAGAATCAATGTCCAAATCCCTCTTCTACTGCAGGTATCACTTGAGGTCCACTATAGCCATGGCTGCCTCTCTCCTTCTTCCTCCTAGTCCGAGGCTATGGCGGACTACCGGGCATGGCCCGGCTCTCCAAAGGACAACACGAAGCAGCTATGGCTTCTCTAGCTCAGGCCGCCATGCCTGACTCTGCCTCGAAGCTTCTTGGTGTAGCTCTGCCCCAACGGGGACCTTCCTGCTGCATGGCCCACCAAGGTGATGAAGATGCCTGCCACCATAGCCAGGTAAGTACCTCTGGCGCTCCCGCTTCCTCCTGGTCTCCTTCCTCCTCCGTGTCCTTGCTCCTTCCCCAGCAATGCTGCTCCAAGCTAGCGCTGCTCCAGCCAGCGCTCCAACCAGTGTGTCGCCAAACTTGCACACCAACAATGAGGCTGGGCTCTTCGCCCGGCCTGGAGATATAGCGGCCTGCTTGCCTCTTGGGCAGTGACTTCCAGGCCGCTCGGCCTTCCAAGCAACCGGTACCTCCTCCCTTTCGGAGGGAAACATCGTTGCAGACTCTGATATTGCCAGTACAGGCCCTAGACTCAGACTGGCTGGAATGCTACCTGCCTAGACCTAGCCTACAACTACTGGGCCTCTAAAAATGCCAACTTTTGTCTTCTTCTGCTCGGCCTCGAGTACCCGGCACATCTACCTCTTCAGGGTGTGGTACAGGCCTACCTGCTACTTGGGTGTTTCCCCACTGCTTCAAGTGTTGCGGGCCTCTTCCCCTGCTACTTGAGTGGTTTCCCCGCTGCAATCCTCAATGTCACGGCCACAGGTAAGTACCGGCCCTGAGGGCTCAACGAGCGGACAAGTCACCCACACACTCAAGCCAACAAGCACTCAGACAGACATGCAGACCAGCAAGCGTGCACAGACACAGACTTAGAGAACTTAGTTGCAAGCGGGAAGCTCAGCACGGCATTCAGTCCATGAGCAAAACTCAGAAATCAGCTGTGTGTCTCGGTCCGTGTTTGGTCGGGTCATCACATATGCCAGGATTTACGTCCTCTCTAAAGTTTCCTCTATAACATTGTACCACTTCTTGTACTCCAGAGCAGAGAGCACAGAAAAAGCGCACTCCCATGCCTCTCTCCCATATCTGAGAATGCAAATACCTGCACTTTAGCCACTGTAGCTTTTCTCGTCCCCTTAAACACAAATTTTAGCCACATGAATGAATACAGTCCGGCCCACTTGCACTTGCCCATGCAGTATGCCTCATTGAATGTCTAAGGGCCTTACCAGGCCACCACTCGGTCTCAGGCTGAAGGGGAGAAAAAGACCCCTACATGGATTCAGGGCCTGAGTGGGTGACAGTTGACCACAGTCAACTGCCTGAGGCCCAACAGTCAAAGTCAAAAGTGGACCCAGCCCAGGTCGCCTGTCAGACACACTGTTACATCTTCGACGCCACACGGGTCCTACCGGACCCGACTTAGGACCAGAGGAACACAGTAGGGCCTAAAGGCCCGACCTTGGGGTACTACAGGCCATAAAGGCCTCACCTTGGACCAGACCCAACGGGCAGGCCCAAATGACATTACCGTTTGGGCCTGGCGGCGCTCTTGAGGCTGCCGCCCACCGGTTGGGGCTGAACCGTCCATCTGGACGGTTCAGGGCACGGCCAGGCCTCGCAGCATAGAGGCCGGCATCTGCCCCACCGGTACAAAAGTACCGGTCCAGCCTCATTCCAGCATCGAACCACCGGTGCGTTATGGTCTAGCGCCAGAGCGCTAGCGCTAATCTTAGCGCAGTACACGAGGAGCAGCAGCAGCGGCGGCATCGCAGCAGCGGCAGCGGCGACTGAGCCAGATCGGTGGCCATAGCCGCCTGAGGTATCGGGAGCCGGAGGTTCTCTCCTCCCTCCCATCGTCAGTCCCCTCTCTCTCTCTCTCCTCCTCGACTCTCTTTTTCTTCTTCTTCTTCTTCTTCTTCTTCTTCAAATTGGAGACTTCATACTAGTTGGACAGGGATCAGTGTTGGACTTCGGTGGTATGAGACTGTGGTACTTACCGGATTCGAGACTTGGAGATTGTTGGGGTTGATACTCGGCGGCATCACAGTTCGGACACCGGTTACATTTGGACTCTGTATCTCCGACATTGGTGACTTATTGTCCTCGACGTTTTGATCTTGTTTGATGACATTTTGGACTACCATATCGGTGACCTATCGGATTCTATTTCCGTGACCTTCGGTGCTGTCTACCTCCCCCACCTCCTTCGTCTCTCCTCCCACCTATCATCTGTGTATGTGTGTACGGGGCCTGAGCATCTTCCATGTATGGCTCAGACCCCACCATCTCACGATTGTATGTGTGTGGAGTGATATCTGTGTGAGTCAGTCTATGTGAGTCAGTCCGTTATCAGACTTCCGCTGCATACATGCTCATCCTATATTGGTTGATCTTTGGTTCTGCCCCATACTCGTTGATATTCTCACGAGTATGTAACAGTTTTGGTATCGGAGCAGACCATATTACGGATCTGCTGACCAGGTAAGTCTGATTAGGAATTAGATTGCTTCTTCAATCTTCCAAATCAGCTCTGTATTACTATCGAGTTTCAAAGTTGCAATTTTTTTTTTTTTTTTTCGGTATTCTGTCTATTTCGGCATTTCCGTTTCATTCGGGATTCGGACTTATAATTCGGATTTCTGTTTTACTCCGGTATGTTGTTTAATTTGAGTTCCGATAAATGGATACTAAATCCGACATTCTGTTTAATTCGGATTTCTGATTATTGATTCGTAGTTAGGTTGAAATCAGTACTCTGTTTAATTCGGCATTCCGATTTTCATTTCGGTTTCCGTTTTTATAATCTAGCATTCCGATTTTAATCCTGTATTCCGATTTCGAAATCGGCATTTCCGTTTTATCGCAGTATGGGAAATTAGGGTTACGAAAATTTTTGGGTTTCGATCAACTTGGGAAATTCGAACGTTTTGGAACCGTAAATCCGGAAATTCCGTGGAATCGCGGAAAATTAGGGTTGGACTCCGAAATTTTCGCGAAATTGTTTTCCTCTCCCTTGTTTGAGAAATTCCGAAAACGGACTTAGGCCTTTTAAAAATCGGATTTTGACGGTGGAAATTCCCAAAATTTCACGTTTTTGAAAATTCGAGTGTTTTTCTTCTGATTTTTTTTCCGAAATTTTTTTTGGCAAACTAATCCGTATCTGACCCTCAGAATTGCAACTTCCAGGTAGTTCACTAATTAACGGTGAACTCCCGGACTAAAGATGATCTCAATGGATACCTAATCTTGACACAATTCAAATTCGTTCATTATCATTATTGCAAATATTGTTTTAGTGATTATCATTCATTATTGCAAATATTGTTTTAGTGCTTATCATTCATTATTGCAAATATTGTTTTATGTGGTTATCATTAAGAATTATTATTTCGTATTAATCATTAATTAAACTTTATTGATTAAATAATTCGTTATTATTTTCTTATTACGAATTTTTGAATTATTTACGGGAAATTTATTTTTTCTGTTGATTAGGTGTCTACAGTCCATCAGTGGGACAGGGGCTGTATGTGAAGTGTTTGATTGTTCTACCCCTGTTCCCACTCTCCCTACCCTCCCCGTAATCTGTGACCACCGGGATGTCTCAGGTACCACACATCAGCCAGAGCTGATATCGGTGGAACAGGACACCGGGGCACTGCCACGACGCAGTGCCAGGCTTGCAGTTCGTACCCGTCCTGTGGTACCTCCACGAAGCAAGTATCAGCAACAGCAGCTCAGCAAGCGGACGACTCCAGCGGCATCAAGTACAGCATTGACAGTACCGGTTCTCACCGGAGTTCTTCCCGCATGTCCGGTCCAAGTGGCCCATGAACCGTTGGCTGACTACCTTGGGCGACTACAGGTATTCACAGATGTCGTAGCTGCCGCCAAGGCTCAGCAGGAGGCAGCAGAGGCAGAACGTCAGCGGCTGGCCAATGAGGTGGCAGCCCAAGCTCAGCAGACTGCTGAGGCTGACGCAGCGGCACGAGACAGACGGAATGCCGCCAGCACAGAGTCCCTAATTCAACATGAGAATCACTGGACAACGCTACTCGAAGGCATGTTCTTTGTGCCTACAGAAGCGCAGGCGGCTCCGACACAGGCGGAGGGAGAGAGAAGTAACCTGGCTACCCTGATGTTGAGCGTGATGAGGGGAGTAATGTGGAACAACAAACTGCTGCAGGCACACCTGGTCGCGGAACGACAGCAACGACAAAAGCACCAGCAAGAGGTGGCTGTTTTGACGGCCGCCGTCCGCGACACAGCAACACAGCGGCAGCAACAGCAACAGCTGTTGAACTCTACTCTCGCACGCATCAACGGCATTGAGGCTAAGGCCTCGGCAGCGCCAGGCTGCACGACGGACGCGACGAAGCAGCTCAACGAGCGCATCGATCACGTCGTCACTATCATCGGCGAACTAGGTGATTTCACTAGTCCGGCCACGATCAGCAGCACGGTGGCCGCCATCAAGACGAGCATCACCAAACTGCAGACRAGWCCGGACGCCGCTACAAAGAATTACAAGATGCCGCACTTCGACATCAGCAAGTTCGACGACTACAACAAGTCGGACGCCTTGACATGGTGGCAACGTTTCCTCACGGAAGCAKCMTGCYGCACTGTCCCGGCTGACGACATGATGAAGGCGCTCTACTTACAACTGATTGGAGGAGCGCAGGMCTGGATGAACCWTCTGRCGGCTACCAASAAATGCACCATCGCCGAACTCCACACGCACATCCCGTGGAAGGAGTTCGAGAASCTATGGTTCACTCRGTTCATGGTCCGCAACGTCGTGAAGSCGGCCATGAACGAGGTGTACACCTGCTCTCAAGGGAATATGCCAACTCGAGACTGGACAACCAAGTGGCAAAAGATAGTGACCACGCCAGGCTTCGATTTGAGTTTTACCAATCAACGATCCGAGTTCTTCTCACGATCATGCGCAGGACTGCGAACCGCACTCGGCAACGAGTACGATTACGCCTCATTCCAGGCTATCTTGGATCGTGCGAACTTGGTCATCCAAACGGACGACAAGGCCGCAAACGAACGGCAGTCCCAGCCGCATTATGTGGCTAAGCCAGGCTATCAACGACCGACACATAATAATGCCGTGATTTCTGACGAAACAATCGATCTCCACGCTGCAGCAGCATCCTCGAGTGATGGAGGAATTGTAGCAGCACTCCCGCCGAAGCGTCCCAAGAGAGTTCGGAAGAACAAGGCGACACAAGAGACGGCATCGACAGGAACTGGGCAGCAGCCATGGACAGCATACAAGATCACCAAGGAAATCTATGACCTTCGTCAACGGTACGGATATTGCCTTTGGTGCAATGGAGTCACTCATTTGAYCGCACAGTGCCCCGAAAAGGGCAAGGCACGCGTAMCCCGTCCAACGAACTCGGGAAACTGAGTTACGCAAGGAGAGGGGCGACGTCTCTCCTCACTCCGCCGGACCCGGTTGCCTTGCTAGCAATCGATGTCACTACCGGGGAGCATGCGTTAGTCGCTGATTCTCGTGCTACGAACGAGGATTATGCCGCCCAGTTGGTACCATCACTAGACCGGCCAAGCCACGTGCACTTAGATTGCGTATGCGCAGCCTGTACACCGTCGACAAGTGATCCGGTCAGTTCGCCACTGATTTTCGAGGACTCAACGGCGTGGTCAAGACTTGAGGAGCTCGACCCGCTCACGAGAGAGGATTTCGCTTGAATGCCTCTACCCTCAAGCGGAACCTTGCCAAGGCCGCATTGCAATGCCTTGATGGCAAATCTACGCTCCTATTTGCACACTACAGTACCAGCTCCGTTGACGGACGACGGAGTAGCGGTTGTCGATCTCCGCTCCTATCTTGCGAAAATTGACCGCGAGTACGCCACCCAAAGGTACGCCGAAACCAGCGCCTTTTTGCTCTATATCCGCATTCAAATCGGAAAGGCAACCTGTAGTGCCTTGATTGATTGCGGAGCGTCTCGCAACTTTATGAGCCAAGCCTTTATGGCCAGCGCAGGTCTTGGCCCGCGTGTTCGAAGGAAGACGCAACCTACGCAAGTTACACTCGCGGRCGGCCGCACGCAAAAGTCAATTGACCGGTGCGTCGACGGCGGTCCGGTATACTTTGCGCCACTTGCGTGCGAGCCGGTGTCTTTTGACATCCTCGACACCAAGTTCGACATGATTCTAGGCATGTCTTGGTTGCGTAGCGCCGATCATCCGGTGAACTTCCATGACCGAGTCGTTCACATCCGTGATCGGAACGGAGTGTTAGTCCCATGTACGGTCGCGACCCCTCACACTTTGATTGCTTGTCACGTGGTTTCCGTTGCGAGAATTCACGACGCCATAGCTCGGAATAACGTCGAGGAGATGGGCCTTGTATTCTTGCATGCTCTCCCCTCGCCGGACGGACCAGCCGCGTCACCGCCGGACCCACGCATCACTCACCTCCTGGACGAGAATGGAGACGTCTTCGAGGCTCCCACCGGAACAGTTCCGGATCGGCCCATACGTCACGGGATCACTCTCAAGGCTGGCGCCGTCCCTCCGCGTGGATGCATCTACCGCATGAGCGAAGAGGAACTCGAGGTGCTTCGCGCACAACTCAATGACCTTCTCGACAAGGGTTGGATTCGCCCTAGTTGTTCGCCCTACGGTGCCCCTGTTCTCTTCGTCTTGAAGAAGAACAAAGATCTACGGTTATGCAACAGTTCCGGATCGGCCCATACGTCACGGGATCACTCTCAAGGCTGGCGCCGTCCCTCCGCGTGGATGCATCTACCGCATGGGCGAAAAGGAACTCGAGGTGCTTCGCGCACAATTCAATGACCTTCTCGACAAGGGTTGGATTCGCCCTAGTTGTTCGCCCTACGGTGCCCCTGTTCTCTTCGTCTTGAAGAAGAACAAAGATCTACGATTATGCATCGATTATCGCAAACTTAACGCACAGACCGTAAAGAATGCTGACCCTCTCCCTCGGATTGATGATCTTCTTGAGCGGTTAGGCGGCGCGACGTACTTCTTGAAGTTGGACTTGAAGTCGGGCTACCACCAGATTGAAATCCAGCCTGAAGATCGGTACAAGACCGCGTTCAAGAAGCGGTACGGGCATTTTGAGTGGGTTGTCATGCCCTTTGGCCTCACCAATGCCCCCGCAACGTTTCAAGCAGCGATGACGACTGAGTTTCGCGACTTGCTCGATCGCAGCGTCCTCATCTACCTTGATGACATCTTGGTCTATAGTAGGACGTTGGACGAGCATATCATACACCTTCGCGCTATTTTCAATCGTTTGCGACTGGCCAAGTACAAAGCAAACCGCGACAAGTGCAAGTTCGCCAAGCAGGAGCTTGAGTATTTGGGCCATTATGTTACGCCGAAAGGCATTCGTCCCTTAGCGGACAAGATCCAAGCCATCGTGGATTGGCCGGAACCCCATTGCACGACGGATGTACGCTCTTTCATGGGTTTGGCTGGATATTATCAGCGATTCGTCGAGTCATACTCGAAAGTGGCCGCCCCTTTGTCAGGACTTCAATCCCCGAAGGTGCCCTTCGAGTTCGACGACGCAGCCAGAGCAAAAAAAACGGATGAGAGAATACCATGCTTCAGAGGGCCACAAGTTAATGACTTTTTGGATGAGTATGAGTTATTTGGACTCAGTTATGGCTGGACAAATAAGCAGCGACTTAAGCACCTTCTATCTTATTGTGATACTGACTCAAGGTTGGCCGTTCAGGAACTAATGGAAGGTGTCACTACCTGGGAAGAAGTCAAGGAGAGACTGAAAAAGGAATTTGAGAAAGATTCAGTTCCAATCACAACTAAGGACTTACTCAATATCAGAAAAGCTAAATATGACACTTTTAATGTTTTTCTTCAGACTTTTATCCGAACAGCAAGAAGAATTCCATATTTGGATGAAGCTCAGAGATGCCATATATTTTTGACAAATTGTACTGACACTGAAAAGCAAGCAGTTCTTAATCCGGCTCAGCACTATCCTCTCAGATTGGGATGAAATGGTTGCAATTATAAGAACTCTACCTACTGTGTCCCATAAGAAATGGTCACTAGATCAGATCAACACTTTGACCAAGGATTGGGAAACTGAGAATGGAATGAATAGAGAGAGCAATCTGACCGCTGATAATATTCTTCAAAAAGTGATGGCTAACTTTATGCCTGCAAGGCCTGCAACACATGTTGTGGATGACAGGGGAAAGAAAAAGGCTGAAAGTGAGGAAGATGATGACGGTAACGATGACAACGAAAGTTATGGTAAGAAGGAGGATTCATCTAGATCCAAGAGGAATGGAAAGAATGGTGATGGAGGAAACAGAGAAAGGAAAAAATATGATTAGCGTCCTAAGAGGGGTTTTACCTGTTACTACTGTGGTGAAGGGCGTCATACTACCACCTACTGCAAGCCTTTTGAGGAGGATGTAAGGAGTGGGGTGGCAAAGAAAGATGCAATGAGCCATGTCTGTGATAGTTCATGGAATAAGTTGGACCAAAGACATCCAGGAGGTATGAGGCTTCTTACTTTTAAACATGATGAGAAAATGAAGATTAAGAAGAAGAAAAAGGTCAATGTGAATGTTCATTTCCTCATTGGAGACTTGCCTAATGAGCTAGTACAAAGAGGAAGTGACCCTCATACCACGATTGAGTCGTCTCTGCAGTCCTTAGTATTGACAGAGTGTGAGCCTAACGAGGCATCTACATGTGAGTCTCCATTGGGAGGGAATCCAACTTCTCAGAATCCTTCTGAATTAGTAGAGTCCTCTTCCAATGAAATGGCTCATCTCCTGGCTAACATGATGTCGTTCCATGGTGATCTACCCCCAGAACTTATCATGGAACCCAGTATCAGGGTTGGTGAAGTGAGGAACCACCAAACCCGTATGACACCTCAAATGATAAAAGAAAAGAAAAGAAAGAAGGCTGAGGAGTCACTTATTAACATCCTTGATGACCCTGAACAGGAACGTTCACAGGAAAAAAATGAACAGGGGAGAAAGAGAAAATTTATTCTCAAGAGTGATTTGGATGATGAGACTGTGATTTCTGACGTAATTGCTAAAGTGCTGGAAGAAACGGAAGTGACATTGTCTTTCAAGAAACCAATGACACTGGCACCCAAACTATTGTCTTTCAAGGAAGCAATGACACTGACACCCAAACTGAGAGAAAAGTTGAAGAAGTTAATTGAGAGGAAAAAATTGGAAGTTAATTATTTAGGGTCAGTCTTTCCCAACCAAGTGAATAGATCACTACCAAGTTGCAAGATGAGATTTGCAACCATGGGTTGTGGGCACCTTACAATTCGCATTAATCAAGTGAAGATTCTAGCCCTAGTGGATTCTGGGGCAGAGATGATACTTCTTTCACGAAGAACGATGGAAGCATGTAATTTATCTATTGATAGACCTGCACAAAATGTACTGAGCAATATTGCAGGAGAGCTGTTCGTGGCTGGATTTATTGATAATTTGCCTATCAGGGTTGGGACAATGACTGTGGAATTACTGGGTTTTGTAGTGCCGCATCTGGACCATGATTGTATATTGGGAACTCCATTCTTGCATAGGATGGAGGCGGTCCAATTTTTCAGTCATGAGGGGTCATCTTGGATCAGTCTACAGGACCCCGAGACTGCTCAAGAGCAGACCTTTATGGTCAGTATGAAAAATGACTTCAAGCATCAATTATCTGCTAATTCGATCAGAAGGGAAAAATCTGCTGAAAGGGTTACGAGACTAAAGGAAGAAGGGAAACAAGAAGCAAAAGAAGAGATTTCGGTGGGAATCAATCAGGTTTCGAAAATGATAAAAACCCTTGGTAAACTCGAGGATGAGAACGGACAAATTGAAGCCTTCAAGAAGGCTGTAGAAACTGCAAAAGGGGGAAAGATGGAATTGAGATTTGCATCGACTCACCCTTTTTTAAGAAAATAGTCACTGGGTCAAAAAGAAAATACAAGCCCAAAGGGGTGAAGAAAAACCTGGTGGCAGTTCTAATAGAGAAAGATTATGATGAAGCATTGGAAAAGGAGAGGAAGATTATAAAAGCATTGAGTGAGTCAGCAAAACTGGACAATAGGGTCACCAAAGAGAGGTTTGACACGATGAAGATAGGCTCGGATCAGTTTATCCTGCCTCAAGAGAAATAATATATCTTCAGGATGTGTCAGAAATTCTCTGGTGCTTTTTCCTTTAATGACAAAGAGAGAGGGCGGTTGGACGTGGACATGATCAAGATGGCCAAAATTTGGACAGTTGATCATGTTCCATGGAATGACAGGCCAACCAAGTATGCCCTGAAGGAAGAGGCAAAAATTGTAAAGTATCTTGACAAAAAGATTGCATCCAATGTTGCTGAACCTGCTAATGGACCGTATGCTAACCACTGGTTTTGTTTCTGGAAACCAGGAAGCGGGCTAAGATGGATACAAAATCTTCAGAAGCTCAATTCTGTGACGGTACGTGATGCAGGTAGTCTTCCTCTCCTCTCTGAATCTTTTGCTGGTCGATGTATTTATTCTTTAGTTGATCTGTATTCTGACTATGATCAGTTCCCTATTGATCCCACTAACCGACCAATGACTGCCATGCACACACCAAGGGGGCTTGTTCAGATGTGCGGGTTACCTCAGGGTTGGACTAACGGCGTGGCAATGGTTCAAAGGGATATGATCAAAGTCATGCCGGATATTTCTCCTGAAATAACCAGTCCCTACATTGATGATAATCTTGTAAAAGGACCTCTGGTAAGAGATGAGATTTTGGTCGCAGGGGGAGTCCGAAAGTTTGTCTGGGAACACGCTGAAGGAGTAAAGATGGTCTTAGAGAGACTTCGGAAGTATAATCTAACTGCCAGTGAACCAAAGTCCCTTCTCTTCCAGCCAGAAGTAATTATTTTAGGCATCAGATGTTTCTTCAAGGGTAGGAGTCCGGAGCCCACGAAGATAGATAAGATTTTAAACTGGCCTCTGCCTCTCAAAAGAGTGACGGACGTCAGAAACTTCTTCGGAGTTTGCGAATTCTAGAGGATCTTTATTCCTCATTTTGCTACCCTTGGAGAGCCTCTGAGGGAGATGGTAAGGCAAGGGGCTAACTTAGCGTGGAATGATAAAAGACAAGCAGCTGCAGAAACATTGCAAGAAAAACTAAGAGATGGTGGTGTAGTGCTGGGAGTGCCATATTACGATAAGGAGGAGGCAAGACCTTTCATCATTGAGGCGGATGGAGGACCAGTTGCTCTGGGTGGAGTGCTTATTCAGAAAGATGAAAATGGGAGAGAAAACCCTCTGAGATTTGAGAGCAGAACCCTCAATTCTATAGAAAGAGGCTACACTCAATTCAGGAAAGAGCTACTGTCAATCATCCATAGCCTCAGGTGCTTCAGGCACTACGTTCTAGGAAGGAGATTCATCCTAAGGACTGATGCATCTGCTGTGATAGGTGTCATTAAAAAGCACCAACAGGTAGATCCAACAGTCATCAGGTGGCTCGCTTTCATCTGGACTTATGATTTTAAACTGGAAAAGATCCCCACTGAGAAAAACAGAGCGGATGGCTTAAGCCGGATTGAGTGGCGAGAAGAACAAGAAAGATATGAATGAGACAATTGAAGAATTTGCCTATGTTGATAATTTCCTTAATGAAAAAGATAACAAGGATTATGAAGCGCCATGCTCCTACCGGTGGAGTCTGTGGCCAGAAGAGAGAGACAGTTGGGGAGAAAACCCCAGCGCATACGTTTATGAGTCGAGTCTAGGGAAAGAAGAAGAAGACGAACCAAACGACTGGTATGCTAGAGTTAATGCAGCAGCAGTGGCTGCTCATGAGATTGGGGAAAGTTCAGGTTCAAAGGAAGAAGAAAAGAGTGAAAAGAAGGAAGAAGAGATATTTTTCTTTTTTGAAGAATATGATGAAAATTATCAGAAAGATGAAAAAGGAACAGCTAAAAGAATATTACTGTAAAAATTCAAGGAAGAAATTCAAACTAAAGAGAGGACATCTCTTTGTGGATGGTAAGGGAGACCTACCTCCACTAAGAGTGGTCTGTGGTAAAGAGATTATTGCCCTGCATGAGGGGGTTGCTGGTGGCCACAGGGCTGCTGAGGCAACCTACTCCAAGACCGTCAGACTCTACTTCTGGCCTGGCATGAGAGACATGATTTTCAGATACTGTAAATCATGTGTGTTATGTAAGAAGAGGTCTACCACAAGAATGATTGAACCTTTATTTCCGACTATCCTGGTAGATCCAGGTAGTAGAGTTCATCTGGATCACATCACTATGCCTCCAGGCAAGGGTGGGATGAGATACATACTAAACATGAGAGATAATTTCTCTGGATATGTTGAGGCAAAAACTCTGAAAAGAAAGACAGCCGAACAGGTGGCTGACTGGATAAAAGAAGTCTATTTTAGATATCCCTTTATCAGAGAATTTGTTTCAGACAGAGGATCAGAGTTCATAAATGAAATTGTCAGAAGAACCACACTCAGACTAGGTGTCAGAATTCGGTATGTGACTACTTACCATCCTCAAGTAAATGCGCCTGTTGAAAGAGGACATAGAACTTTGAAAGATTCACTGGCCAAGTGGTGTGAAGGGAATCTCAACAATTGGCCAAAAGTATTGAGAGCTGTTGTATATGCTGACAACATTACAGTCAAAAGAACTACAGGCTATGCGCTATTTACTTTGTGGTATGACCGATACACTACATTGCCTATTGAAAGTATTGTCAAGACATGGTCAAGTCAAGAAAGTGACAGAGACTATTCTATTTCAGAGCTTCTTCAGATCCGGATGAGGCAAATATCAGAAGTTGATCAGGCAGTGATGGACGCTGCAGAAAGGATGGCATTCAGTAGGCTATCAGATCAAGAAAGATGGAACAAGAAAAGGTATATAAGAAAAGAGAAATTGAAGATTGGAGATGTTGTCCTTCTGTTTGACAGTTCTCTTGAGACACAATGGACTAAAAGGTTGGAGCCCAGATGGCTTGGTCCTTATAGAATCACAGGAGAGGCGGAAGGCAAGGTTTATGAGATTTCAGAAATGGACGGATCCAGGGTTCATGACATGGTATCAGTGTGTAGACTTCGTAAGTTTATATTCAGAGACCCAGATCTGATTCCTTCAATAACCTCAAGGAGAGGGAAGAGAGGTCAGTTATCTAAGTAAGAGAACAGTTCCAGAGAACTAAGAGAAAAAGGGTACAGTGAGACAATGAGACAGCAAGAATGAGCTTTCAAGAGGTTGTGATCGTTCATGCATAGTCAATTCAGTATTTTAATTTTTCAGCATGTCAGTTAATTTTCTGCTTTAGCAAGAGACAAAGTTAAAAAGACTATATCTTTGATGCAGTGCTACAGTCGATCCATGAGTCTCAAGTCCCTAAAGAGTGGGAGATAACTGTGAGACACAGTTTTCGCGAGCATTGACACAATGTCAAGATCAGAGAACTCATGGCTGTGGCATGTCAAGAGAAGTACTCTGAATTCTTTTTATGATAAAGAGAAAAGCGTAAAGAGCATAGAGAAGTTCAGTTCTGTCTGACTAAGAGTTGTCAGCAGAAGAACTTCGTACCTCTGACTAAGTTGTCAAATCTTTAATCAGAAGAGGGAAGGGACCTCTCTGAGATCAGCATTTCAGTGTTTCCTTGGGACTGGCGGGACGTCTCTTGGAAAAGAAAATTCCCAGTTGAGGGAAGGGACCTCTCTGGGGCCAGCACTGAGTATCCTTCTTGAGATTGAAGGGAGGTCTCCTGAAAGGGCTTGGTGCTGGTTATCATGTTGCTGTTCAGTGCCTCTTGAGACTGACGGGACGTCTCTTGAGAAATGTTTGTCCTGTTATGGGGCGTGGGCAGTTTGCTTGTGGGTTATGATATGCCTGTCTAATTGTCTATAACAGGGTTTTTCTTCTCTAACCTAAGGATGCATTGACTGTCGGGGCCAGTCAGAGCCTTACCGCAGTAGGCTACAATCTGGTGAGGTCAGCAGGTCCCCGACGCGAGTGTCGAATTCCGTAGTCGACTGAGGCTAAGACTCCGGGAGTCTGGCCTATGAGGTTGAAAGGGGTCAGCTGAAACCTTACCGTAATCAGAGGATGCAATCCAGTGGGGTTCGCCAGAGCCTGGAACTGTGGTTAGACCGGGTCCCACGTTCAAAAATCTGGGCGGGGCAGCCAGCGCCCTTGGCCAAAAACTGGTAGGTGAGGTAATAATAACAATAATACGGGTCCTGACCTCAGTGGTCAAATCCGGGTTCGGGACAGATTGACTGACGGGACGTCTACCGTCATAGGGTGACCAGACCCGCTATAGTCTGGGTGTCCTGGCGAGAGTGCCGAAGGGCTGACATACTCGAGTAGTGGGTATGATTGGTCCTGACCTGGAGGCAAGTCAAAGGGGCTGTCAAGACAAATGGTCTAACTAGTCCTGGCCTGAGGCGGGCCGAACGGGGTACGTCAGACTGACGGGACGTCTGGCATTCCTGGCCAGTGGTGGGCCGAAATCAAGGCAATCAATAAATCTTGGGCGTGAAGAGTTATTATGTATTTTTTGATTTGTTATTTATTATATTATTTATGGGTTTTATTTTCGTTTGTTAATGTTTGATTGCTGGTTGTCAGAGGGTTTGCTTGTTGGGGTATGGTTGTTGTTTGTGGGACTTGCTGATCTTGCAGGTATGCAAATACTTATCTGAAGTTCCCAGACCAGAGAAAAGAAAAAGGGTTTGGTATCCCCCCCCCTTTTTTTTTATCTAAGAAGTTGAGGAGACGCCTCACTCAGATCAGAGAAAGAAAACAAGGGTTTGGTATCCCCATCAGGTGCTTGAGAAGCCGAGAAGGCGTCTCACTCAGGCCAGAGAACAGAAAAGAGGGTTTGGTATGCCTTATTTCCAGCATGGCAGACAGAGTGGGTACCCTCGTTACTGGGGTCATCCCTGGCATAGATGCCTGATCAAGAGCTAAGGTAACCTTCATACAAAAACCCAGCAGTTGAACAAGTCAAACACGCAGACAAAATCCTTCTTAAAATTTTATTTGGTGGCCGACAAGCGGCCTGGTTCACGAGGAACCTGCATCCCTGGCCTTAAGGAAGCCAAACTCTTAGGCCTGGGACGCTATGAAGTGGACAGGATCGAAAATTTTGTGAGCCAAAATTCGGATTCAAAAGGTTGAAAAGAAGTCACGCTTATATAAGACATAAAAGACAGCCATGAGCTCGAGCTGGAAAAGAAAGAGAAGAAAGAAGATGCTGAAGAGAACGCAATGACTGGGATGATGAGGTGATGAGACAGCACACGGGACAGAAGGGGGCGGAGCCGACACTATGGCCTTGCTTACAGCGGGGGTGGAAGGAGCTCTAGGGATATAAGGAGGTGAAGAGGCGCTAGGTGTACCGTAGCGCGCGTCAAATTTCTTGCGGAGGAATTCCATCCTGTCAGGAGATGGGGTCCTCTCGTACCATCCTGCTGATGAATAGCGGGGGTACGGCCTTGGCGGCCGTAGCCTCGTGGCTCCTTCTCTTCCTCCTCCTCTGAGCTATAATCTCGCCGTGCCCTAGCTGGCAGCTCTTCTTTTGCTTTCCCTCCTCTTCCTCCCCTTCCTCTACCCTGTCCACGACGTGCCTCAGGCATGATGCAGGATGAATGGCCGTCAAGAAAGAAGATAAGGGGAGGATGATATAACACTCAGGGATATGACAAAGACGGGACTGTGTAAGCGAGGTTCACAACGGCGAGGTGGAATAGGAAATCAGAAAGCAAAACACTATTAAAGGGAGAGGGTAGAAAATGGTTGTGTGGGATATGGAGAGCTACAGCTTAATACAAAAAGATGAGAATTGAGAGAAAAGGCTAGCGCAGAGAAAGAAAAGAACTGGCACGAAGAGAGAAGGTTAGACTAGAAGAGCGGGAACGAGCGTTGAAGGAGAAGATGAGCGTTGAAAGTAACACAGAAAGCTAGCTGCGCAGAACCGCGACATGGGTATCACAGTGGGTTGCTAATAGAAATGAATGAAAGTGCTGCTTGCTCGTACTGGTTTTATACTGGAAGTGCAATGCGTTTTGACCCAGTGGGGACGCTAGGTGGGGGTTTGGTATTATGTCGGAGGGCGTGGTATCCCGACCCTCCTCTGTGTACCAAGTCCCTACTTGGTACGAGTCCTCGCTCCGATGCCCCAGCCTATAGACGTGTCCTGGACCTCTGTTGTTTCTAGTATCCAGGTTGTACCTCGGTGCGGACCGGTCCCTGTGAAGTTGCCCTCAACAAAAGGGTGCGCCACAGGACCTTCTTTTGGTCCACGCAGGCTCGGCGCCCTGCTGTACTGCAGAGCACAACCGGCCTGTAACCGTGGTAGCCGTCGGGTCTGCCTTGGGACGCGAAGGCAAGGGGGCCAGCGTGTTTTTTTCTACCGCGCGCCGTGTTCCCTTCCACTGAGTTATGGGTCAGGAACACACACCAATGGTCACTGTCATAAAAAAACAAGGCTAAGAAAATAAAAGTAAAAGCGAAAATGCAAAAAGGAAAATAAATGACAGCTGAGAGCCTAGTCCATGTGAATTGACGGCTGCTAATCGAGAAACTCGACGTTCTATAGTCGTTCGTCGTTACGTCTCACTCAAAGTTGTTATTTATTATAATTATTATTACTATTATTATTATTATATCCCCATCAGTTGATACCTGACGCGACTCCTCTCTTCTCGGCCTGTCCTTTCGTAAGGGGGCTAACGGTTCGGGCGTCGAGTTCGGGCGGTGGTATTGTGGCCTAAGCAGGCCGAACCTTTCGTATATCACCTGTACTGGATCTGCACGTACCCCAGTAGCTGTGTTGGAGGGCAGATATAGTGGGGTCTGAAAAAGGGAAAGTGTGAAAAGGAAAGGAAGCGATAAGGGTGAAAGTCAGGTTTTAGACTTGTGCATGAACTCGCACCACTATTCAGGCGAGGCTGCTTCGCAGAGGAAATTTGAATTGTCATCTTTCCTTTTCTGCGATTTTTGTTATTATTATTATTATTATTATTGTTATTATTACCTCACCGGTTTTCAGGCGTGATCCTCCTTTGCCTTCTTTGTCACATCGCGGGAAGGCCAACGGTCCGAACTTGGAGCTGTGGCCCGAATTGGCCGGCCCCACTTAATCCGTCTGAGAATGTGCGCCGACTGAGTGCTGCGTGGTCGGGCCTCAAAAGAAGGGCGACCCGCGACCACATCGATAGGAGGCTTATCACGCCCCCCATGGAGGGTCATAAGCCCCCTCCTTGCCATCGGACGCAAGCACCCGCATACTGTAGTCCCGATTGTAGGCTTTAAAGGGGAAGAGTCGCCTATAGGTATCCCGTTATGGGACCGACGGTCTGAGTCTTTGGCAGCAACCGTGAAAGCTTGAGGAGTGGTGACGGTACTGGGATGGAACTCCGCCTGACAGTTAGGATTCAGACTGGAAATAACTGAGGGAGTTAATTAATTTTCTTTTTTTGTTTTGATTTTATCTTTATTCTTCGGGGAAAGATCTTCGCAGAACCTACCGTTTAGAGCGCAGGGACCCTGGTGGGCAGCGAGCCTATAAAAAGTGATGGAGCCGAGTGTTTTAGCACGTCGGGAATGCTAGGCACAGTTGCTGCTCTGGGGGTTTGAGCTTCATCGTAGCGCTCTGCTGGGACAATCTCAGAGCTGGGGATATGTTGTGCTGGACAGAGGATCGCACACAGCGTACTCTGCATGCCGAAAACTGAGATTTGCTGGGAGGTGGATGCGGATATAACAAGCTACAGGCCTGCGTATGTATTGCCTGTTGGCGTGCTATTCCGTGTGGACGGCTAAGTGTTGCGAGGAGGCCATAGTACTGAGTCTGACTATGGCACTGCATGGGTACAAGCCCGGGTACTGGTATCACCAGGCCCGTTGGAAGCCCGTGTCCGGGGAAGGGCACTCGATTACCGTCATACTCAACTACAACGGAGGAGATGAACTGTTATTGAAGATCAACGTGGGGGGAGCAAGAGAGGGGGAGATGCGGACTAACCCGAGCTGCAGGACGCGATTTCAGAGGCGAGAGACCTAGCGGAGAGACGCTGTAGACGGGACGGAGTGACGACAAGGCTACGGATAACGGTGGCTTACCATGAAACAGAGACTTCGATGGACACAGCGGACCTGGAACACATCCACCAGGACAAAGACTCAGGAGGGGAAAGCGAGATGAGTGACGCAGATCGACAGACGGATCTCAGGTCATGGAACAGACCAGGAGAGATCCAGAGGCATCACCGAGCCGTGAAACCGGTGGAGGAGGGACCCGAAGCTAGCTCGAGGCAGCTGACGCCGAGGGGCCGCGGGACGGGAGAAAAGCAGAACAAGGGGAAAAAACATATGTGAGGAAAGCAGGACGGGAGCTCGCAGAGTGAGGTTGACGTTAACCACTGTTCGCACGCTCACGTGATTGGTTTGCATCTGCAACAATGACGGAGAGATAATGAAGTACCTGTCCGAATAGAGTGAGCAGTGTCCATCGAGGGAGGTCAGTGGAATGCGGGGGCGACGACACGTGGAACAGTCCAGAGACTGGCCTAACTCAGTGTTAGGGCGATCGGCAAGGACATGAGGCGGTTACACGTGCGCGCACACACACAAAGCATAGAGCATTGTCGACACCGACGGCTACCCTCGTCCCAGTCAGACCTCTCTCTCATACAAGGGATGTCGTCCTAGTCGCTCTCCATAGTGTACGTTACCGTCACCTCCTTAGTCGTTCTCCGTCGGGGAGAATGTGAGAGGTATCAGAAAGGGTCAAACAGTGACGAGCTGAGCTTGAACGAAGTTGAAGGCGGTTGTGTACTCGAAGGCGGACATTTGCAGTTGACGCGCGCGGCGTGCGACTCGGGGCTCCGTGCCAACCAGCGTTGGGGTGGTCAGAGAAGCGCAAGGCAGTTACATGGTGATTGATTACACGTGTATGGGGCATAGCGACAAGGAGAGAGGGCAGAGTGTGAAAAAGCCAAAGAGAGAACTTCATCGTTGGAGGACGCACGAGCAGGAAGAGTGTGAGCTTGGCGCAGTTGACTTCAAAGACAACCTTCTCGCAAGTGTGACGCTCTCGCCTAGTTGATGACTAAGTATCAACTACATTACGGATATCATCGGGCGAAAGTGAAGGACTGCTGCCGATGACGAGGAGCGGCAGGCTTGAGTAAGTGTGAGCAAAGCTCGCGTGTGTGTTTTTTCCTGCTATGATGCTATGGCAAGTGGTCAGTGATGCGCGCGCACAGGCGAGATGTGACATGGTCTACGAGATAGTGAGAGAGGGTCAACTGGGAGAAAGGTTGGCGGAGGGGAGAAGTCACGGAGCTGACGTCACCCGATCAATTGGGAGAAAGGTTGGCGGAGGGGAGAAGTCACGGAGTTGACGTCACCCGATCATCTGGGAGAAAGGTTGGCGGAGGGGAGAAGTCACGGAGTTGACGTCACCCGATCCTTGGTGGGTTAACGAGGACTTCACTCGTATCGTGAGTTGCAGCTCGCAGAAGGCCTTCACCGCCCCTTGCTTGGGGTGCGACTAGTCATGTGAAAGCGTTTGCCAATGGCGCTTTGAGAGGGCACAAGATTTCGGGATGGGAGTGAGGAAAGGAGGTTAGACAATCGAAGTACGTGTAACGTTTTAGCTGTCGCCTCGTAACTCGCCGGCGTGAGGGTGCTCTGTAGCAATTGGAATGCTGCTAAGAGTGGATTGGCCATCTCGTTTGGAAGTCGAGTAGTGACCGTATGCATACGCTCACCTGCTTTATACGTGTCATCGAGAAAGAGTCTCGACTCATACCTACCAGTCGACATCATCATGACTCAGTACTCAACCAGCTTTTGTCGGGGCCTTACTCCGAACAGAGGAGCTCATCGGTGATAAGATGATTGCTCAGGTTTGACACTAATAGGAAGCAAACGCGATCGAAACGTAAGTATAATGCAAGACAATCAGAAAAGGCTAAGCGACGTAATTACCCTTGACAGTTACTACTGTACCTGGGTCGGTTTAGCAGTAACTAGACTGAAGAACTGATTGCAATATAAATGCAAAACTCCCGGTTTCAAATGGTGAAGCCCCACTTCTCTTCCTAGTCTCGAGGGTATTATGGCTATGCCGTTCGTTGTGTGGATGCGGGTTATCAAGATAGCGAACTAGGACTATCCATAACACTAATTACTGATTCTTGGTTATAGCCAGTACCACCACTTTCGTTCAGGCAACTTCGGATGTTTGCAAGCTTTGCTTCGGAAGAGATATCCGATGAGCATGACAAGGGTCCCTGCTTGTGTGATTGGATAAACACTCTGTTGAGCTTTGTGATCTGTGCCTCGGTGTGTCTCGTTGAATATCGTATAACCCTTTAATCAAAAATGGGGGGGAAAGAGAGAGCTCGTCTATGATCGTCACAAAGCATCAAATGAGATCCTCGGGCTACTGAGAAAATGAAAGGGTGAACTCCAGGCACACTTAGCAGAAAGTTACCGTGGCTTGATGTGCTTCGTAGCCTGGGAGTGTTTACATAGTGAATCGTACCTGTGATTGAGGGAAATAAGCCGATACCAAACTGTACCATGTGCCTCAGTCTGGGTCAGTGTGAGTGCACTCTCTAGTCCTTACCTCTAATTTTTTGGGTTGCTGCCACTTATGAGTAGGAGACGATCAGTATTACTAAAAAATGCCTACTTATTGGTTAAGTACGTGATAGATGGGGACTGAGAAAAAGAAGTGGACGCGCAAATATACAGTTCACGAGTGACCCCGATCTCGACGAGAATCGGTCAGGGTGTTTTAAGGTTTTAACTCCTAAGGCAAGAAGCGAAAAGAGGCGCTTGCGAACATTCGATGCTCGTTGCAAGCAAGCAAGGCCCTGCTTTTTTAGTAGAACCTGTATCAGAGCACCTTGTCTAATGGGGAAGTATGGTAATGATCGGACAGTCCACGACTCAGATACTGAACGCTGTTGATGGTTGAGTGGCAGTTATCATTCGAGACCAGTGGGGAAGAAATGTGAGCTACCTGATTGAGTCGATCAACAGGACCTTGGTATTAAACGGCCATGAGTGAGAACACGAGCGCATGGCCGAGATTTCTCTTAATAAAAGAGTGGGCGTGAAAAGGAACTGTGCCCAACACTGACCTGCTCACCCTGTGAACGAAGGAGGTGCATTTGGTTAACGTCATTTCGGGAGTGAATCTAAAGTTGTTGTTTGAGTATCAACCCACAGTTCACTATCTAAAACAAGTGAAAGTTATCATACCCACTATTTGGTCAGACTCGCAAAAGAAATGGTTGCTGACAAATCACAGGGTAACCCAGAGGAGATGACTTCACTGGGCAGTACCCGTGGGCCATTGCTCAATGGCTGACTGGTGAGTGAGTCAGAGAAACGCAATCAGCTAGACCCATGAAGTGCTTCAATCCAAGCGAGGGGTTTCGAGTAGACTAAGGCCAGAAGTGAGGGATCATTTAGCACAACCTTGTCGTACTTCAGTTTGAACCTGAGAAGTACAACATTTCAAGAGACCAGGTGGGACTCTCATCTGCTGCTGATCGCTATGGGGTTCAGAGTGTAGGTCTCCTGGCTTGAGATTAACACAGCGAAAACCCAGTGGAGAAATGGGAGACAGTGATACAGTTAGAGTGACTTGTTCGCTGCACCAAGCCATAGCAAGGGATTGGAGAGAGACGGTAACCGATGACTATAATTTCCCGACAACCATCTTGATGGAGCACGCACTGACACTCGTGAGAAACCATACCAAAATCGAATATACCTACTACTTGTATGACAAGAACGGAAAACTGTGTGTGACCATCTCATCCATGGGTTCCGTTGAGGAGGTAAGGAGAACCATTTGCAGATACAAGTAAAATGAAACTGCTCTGGACAGAAAACGAGTAAGAGAAGGTTGGATCAGATTGGAAACGAGTAGCTACCAGAAATACTGCAAACCTGCAAGACACGAGGATGAATGACAAACAGTTATGACACAGTAATCTCAACAGTAGTCAGTTCTGCAACCAGTAATCTCAACAGTAGTTAGTTCTGCAACCAGTAATCTAAACAGTGGTCAGTTCTGCAACCAGTAATCTCAACAGTAGTCAGTTCTGCAACCAGCAATCTCAACAGTAGTCAGTTTCGCGACAAGCAACCAGCCCGGTGATCAGTTCTCAGCAATCAGTGCTCGACATTCATTTAATCAGTTCCTAGCGATCAGTTCTCAGCGATCGGTACCCGTCAGCTACTTATCAGTTTTCAACAGACGGTGCACAATAGTCAACTTTTCAGTGATCATCTAATCAGTTTGTACTGACTAGTCTACTTATGAGTACAGTCGAATCTTTTCGGGTCAGCGATTCAGTGCTGGCTAATCTCAATCARRTTTCTGGCAAGGAGGCCTTCCGCTATCAGTATGCTAGTGCCGTTGAGTTCAGGCAGGGAGATTTGTGAATCTTCGTTGTCCAGACCAATTTTGCTGATGGCACTATCCACGATCTGAGGCCTTACCTGAAGAAGGGCAAGGAGGCTCATGAGCATTTCGATCCGGTTTGAATCTCAGCCACCGACTACCACGAGCAGAGAGAGGAGTTCGATGAGAGTGGCACTACACTGATCCGCAACTTTGGGCCGAAGCTTTATGCTGACTATCCCAGGCCTCTTGTTCCTTCCCTCCTCACGGATGGCACGAGTTGGCTTGATATGATCGGCTTGGCAAAGAGGTATATTTCTCCAGCGGCGATCGACATTGAGGCATTGACTGAGCCCACCGAGTATCCCTACCTCAGACGAGGAGTCTTTTCAGTGGACGAACTGCCTACATTGTGGGAGGAGTTTTGCTCCATGGTTAACTTTCGTGTCATGTATCTCGGATGGTCATGCTCATAGCTTGCTGGCTTCAGGTGGCTCTTTGTCACGAGGCCTCGATCTCAGATTGGGCGTGGGTTACAACCATAGAGATAAGCAGTGAAAAGAGAGATTGAGAGAGACTGACCAGAGGGATGAGTGAGGACTCTTGAGAGGTGTTGACCATGCTTGTTTATGTGTACTTTCTGAGATTATTACGAGTTCTCACTCATCCTTCATTCATTTGATCTTTGCCTTTGCTCGAGTCAGTCGGTCTTGCTTCTTGCATTGTTCTTGCCTAAAGATTGCTATCATGGATGATTCCGTCACAATTCTCAAAATCAGATTGACATAATTGATGCATGCATAGCGCCTCATGATTTTATGGTTATTATTTGCATAATTCTCTGTGTTCCGAATCAAAATAAAAGATTCCTAAGATCGGGGACCGGCGAAGACCGCAATTGAAGGGTCTCGCTCGAAGCCGGACGCACACAACAGGAAGGGATTTGCATTATTTAATTTATTTTATTTATTGCAAGCACATACAAAATCCTGCAGACAGCTTGTTGGCTTTCTGGTCGCCCAAAGTGGCTCCACTGGGAAGTGCGACAACGCGCGACTAATAAAGTTCCGCGTCGAGCAAATGTCTTAATAGGCCCCGGCCTTGCGGCCGCCAATGACAACCTCGCTGATGAACATCTCACCCTTTGGGGCTTTGACTAAGGCCGTCCAAGAAGCTAGCGGGTCTGATCTAGACCACTCCACCTCTAGCTCCTCTAAGGACTCAAACACATTCATCGAACAGAGGCTCGATGGGTCTGAATGTGTTTGCGGGACGACACTGGAGTCAGTAGATTGGGCCATCTCTCGAGATGGTGAGGGTGTCTCCACCACCTCGACCCTAGCAGGAACAGCTACAATTCCTACTGGCCCGACGTGTTTCCCGGAGCACTGCCTGAAGTACTGGCAACGTTGCTACCCACGGGATGAGAGGATCCCAGCACTTGCCCCATCGTAGGCGGGATCATTTCCATCACTTTCTTGTTGCGACACTTGAATTGGCTGTGGCCATATTGACCACAACGAATACAGGCCTTCCGTGAGTAACGGTCTCTCCACACGTCCTCTGTAAGACCCGCTTTCTCCCATGAAGGAGCATTGGGGTCAACTTGACTCCTAGACTGGGAGCCTCCGCGGCGTCTACCGGTCGCCTGACCTTTTTGCGATATGGCAGCGACTACTCTACCCTCTGAAGCATCTATGCTGCCTGCCTCTAAACCTACTCCCTCTTGGAAGTTGCCGTCCACCTCGATGGTTGAACCATCGTTGTCGACAAACATCAAGCGACCTTTCGCCTTCCAGTTAGGAGGCAGTGTCTTCTTCCTCCCGTCCGTACTGGGTGCCTGTCCATGCCCTATCTTTGCTTCTAGGTCTAGGGCCACCTTGCTAAACGAAGGGAAGTTGTGCATATTGATGTTGGCCTCTTTTGCCAACTGGTTCCTGAGAGTCTGAGAAAAGCATCTCAAGTACGACGTCAACAGGACCTGGGGGTCATAGCGCACCCCCGGGACACAAATCAGACGCTCAACAGCGTCGGTGGTTCCCTTACTGACTTAAACTGCCTCGTGTGCAGTGTCAGGATCGCATCAGTGGCCCTTTGGGCCTCCTGAGGATCGTGCCACCTCTCGTCCACCATCTTCAGGAAGTCATCCAATTTCTGGGTGGCTGCCCAAGCGCGGAAGTCATGACCATATCCCTGGATCTGCACTAAACCACTCAACCATCTTGCTGCACTACCCTCTAGGTAGGAAGCTGCCACAAGCACTTCTTCGTGCGGCAAGGTGAGTTTACACCTTACGTAGACCGGCACTGCCCTCAACCACGTGTCCAGGTCTTCGCCCCTCTTATCCCTTGTGAAGGGTTTGGGAGTCGCTATGGCCGTCATTGGAACCCATTGAGTTTGTCCCGGTCCCTGCATCACTCCGGGCTGTGGACCCGGTGACACAGGTTGCTGTGCTAGCTGCTGGGGCTGCATGCCCTGAGGCTGCACAGGCTGCGAGACAGCAGGCTGCGTGGTGACTGCAACCTGCAACGGACTTTGAGTAAACACTGTCTGTACAGGAACCTGCACACTACTCCCTGTTGTTACCCCTCTTGACAGCGGCATGCCCAGGGAAACAATAGCAACCGATGAAGGGGCAACATATGGGGATACCCCTGTCACCGGTGGGACAGAAAAAGGAGGATACGACACGGGCCAGGCACCAGGCCCGGCTGGTGATGGTGTTGCCTGAGCACGGCCTGCCAATACGGCTAGGCTCTGTTGAATGTCATGAAGGATGGTAGTTTGATGCTCCTGCATCTCTATAATGCCTAGCAGAGCCCTCCTAACTACCCTCACATCATCATCCATGTTTGTTAGGTCCATCCTCTCTAACTCCTCTATGTCTGCCACTCTTCGCTGCATCCTGGCTCTTCTTCTGATCATCTTCTCCTTCTCCGCTTTTATCTCTCCTAATGCCCGCTGTAGGTGTGCCTCCTGCAGAGCTGCCTGCTGGATGGTGACATCCTCTGGAGTTAACACCGCGGCCTGGCTTGCCATAATGCCAGTGGACTGACTCACGGTCTGCGCGACCGTTGACCCGACAACACCTGAACTACTGGCTTGGGAAATCTGCTGCGCAGAAGTGGACATGGCTTTAGTAGCCATGACTGCTGTAGCACCGGCCTCGCTAATTAAAGTCCTCCTGGCCTCGGCTGGTCTAGCCCTCCTCTGTTGCTGCTGCCTCTCCCTCTGCTGGCGGAACAGATGTTTGTCACCCTCGGGTCCTAGGGACACGTGGGCTATTGGGCCTCTAGCTGATCGCAAGGTCCTGCGGTCGTCCTCTCCGGTGTTCTCCTCGTCGCTCATAGGCTACAGTGTTGTGCACTGACCACACTAGATCATTCAAGATGCCTACCACAACATAGTGCACGGACCAACTAATTAATTGGTGGCTATTTCGGAACAGATCTCATTTGAGGTCAACAGGTAAGTCAGATTCCTACAAATGAAACTATTTTTAGTATGACTAGTCCGCAAACAGAAGCACCAGGAACAATCAACAGTTCCAACTAATGTTGTCAGTCAGATGTCAATGGCAGTACATCTAACTAATCAAAAACATAAAAATAAAATCAGTTGTGTAGATAGGACAGCATGGCATTTTCTCGAACTTATCACCTGAATCAACCCTTCCCTTAATTCCCCTAAGTATCTTTTGACGTCAGCGTCCCTGAGCAATCTGGAGAGCGGTGCGTGTCTAAAGGTGTGTGTCCGGCCCACCCCTGTGCCCCGAGTATCCACTGAACCGGCCAGCCTTGCACGTATTTTTATCCTCGGTGTGCCGCGAGCCTTCCAACCATTGACTGATCCAAGGGCAATTTAACGTCCGCCCCCAAGTGACTCCAGGAATTATTTCACGTCGCAGCCGGACGACGATCACAGTCAATGGTTCCCCTTCCCGTGTTTATTTATAGACGCCGGGTGCTCGTCTTTCCTGTAGGGCTGGCCTGCCCAGTAGTACCCATCTAACAGCGCAGCAAGCCGAACAAAGGACAAGCAGCTTAGGCATGCGTGCTCTACTCCCTGTGGGTTGGCATGGTGACCATGACCCAGTGCTTCGTCCAGGGCCCTTTAGAAAGCTCTGCCCATCTCCACCCAGATGCTTCACGTGCACATTGCCAACTCTCAAGGTTGAGCGCACTCGACACCTCATAATGAGAGGACCCTCAAGAAGGAACACACAACCTCGCGGTAAGAAGTGTTGGAGAGGGAAGATAAGGTTAAGAGCAACGTACCTCATTTAGCTGCCCCCAACCACAGAGATAATCTCACCAGATGACCAAATGGCGGTTGCGACGACCAGTCACTGCATCGGCACAACCAGCATTATCCACCGTTCCACCTCAGCATCAATCGCACATTAGGTAGTTCTCATCACACTATCCGAACCACATTCACCTCACATAGCCTTCCTGGCAATTCCCCTCACCTCCTGGGTCGCCTTACACTCGTCTCCACCCTCCTCACTACACACCACTTACGGCCAAACTCGCCCAGCAGACCGCATGTATGTACCGCATAAGGCAGAAGACAAGCGCCAGATGAGCGCAAACAGCATCATACATATGAGTCCAGATAGTCTTGACCTCGAACCAACAGCAGAATTGAATCACGAGATACACCAAATAAGAACACACCAAGAGTTCATAATTGACAATGCTGAAGTAGTCCAATCATCATCAAAGAAGAACCAGAGTTGATATCCTATCTGGCGCTCGGCGCCCAGACTACATGTGGCAGATCCTATCTATGAAGCCGAAAGATGACATCAACAGTTCCCGAAGTACGAGCATATGGCGACCAATGTCGCACGCTTCCAGCACCAGGTATGTCTCGCGCTACACTCACAACCTCGTTCCCCAACTCACAGATGCCACTAGCACCCAAGGACCACCCTGCGCTTCACCCAGCTTACAGCAGCGCAGCTCGGCTATGGCTGCGTGCTCCTTCCCTGCTCACCCGTGCGAGCGTAGGCGCCAGCCAGCAAATAGCGCAGCAGCAGCGCTTGCGCAGCATCCAGCACTCGAATGCCGAATGAGGAGGCAGGCCCTTCCATATATCGAAGTGGCCTGCCTGCGTCCAGTCCAGGAAGCTTCCAGTGTGCCCCGGTAGCCTGAGGCCCAGCACGAGAGGAGCAGGCCTTGGGCCTGAAGTGGTTGCTTGTGCCCAACTGCTTTCGGCCTGTGTTTGGCCCGGTACCCGTATCCAACCCAGGGCCTGCGTCACATACATTCACAAAGGCGGCCCAGGGCCGGGGTTCATTCAACCAACTGGCGCTGCGCAACTGCCTGAATTTCCTTGAGTTGCGTGGTGGCCAGAAAAGGGCCCTGAGGGCCTCGTCGAGCCTGCCTTCACTTAGGGCGGCCGACGGGCTGCAAAAATGGGGCTTTGTGGGGCTCTTAGAGGCAGTGGCCTCGCAAAAACTGATTTGATTGAAGTTAACTTATTTTAGTGTAAATCATGGTAACCGCGGACCCGGACACCGGACACTTCCGGACCAGTGTCTGGACCGGTCCGAACTGTCCGGTGATCCGGAGATCACCGGACTCCGGACATGACAGGACACCGGACAATCCGGACCAGTCCCCGGGGTGCAAAAATGTCCGGACCCAAAAAAAA